TGTGCCAGGTTCTTGGGCTGCAGGGTTGGCATAATATTTATAAGGCCGTGTCTTGGGCATTGAAAGGGCAGTAAATCAGCAGCATGCTGTGATGTGTAGGTCACGCAGTTCATGACCACGTTACCTACCTTGGCTCTGTTCCTGATTTCATCTGTTCCTGTTCACTAGCTTATTCATTCCTAATGCACTAGAAATAAGATTTCTCTCAGCTCTCCCCCACTAATGGCAGCTGTCCCTGCAGTACTCAATCTTATGGAAGTGCCTTGATGTTTAAGAAATGCCACCTCCTAAAGTAGCTATAGGCAGCTTGGTAATATTGTGATTAAAGCCTGTAGACTCCATAGGGAAAACAGGAATTGCACAATCTATGACCATTATTTTTCCTTCCATTACAATCCACAAACATCCATCCTGCCTCTATGATAATGGGGACAAGTGGGCTATGCATAGGCTTTCCCTTACTAGTTAGGTTGAAGGTGCATTTGGCTGTGCAATGGGAACTGGAACAAAAGTGTCTGTTGGTAGGTCAGTGTCTCTCCCCCTCACTTTAAGGGGAGGCAGGTGCTGCTGGGTGAGGGTGCAGTCAGCAATAATGTTTGTTGGAGGTGGTTTTTTTTACTATTTTGTTTCATCTCATTCCTTTCAACACTGCTGAACCAACAACAGCCTATGGATATTGCCTTTATCTCCTTTACAGCCAAAGGGCATTCTCTGTCTTGTCATGTGTTTGTATGTGAGGAGATATAGTACTGATGGCTGAAGCAGGCCAAGTGTTGCAGTCAAAAAAATGCTATTGCACTTATTGCCTGGGGGCTAGTGGGGAAAGGGTGGAATCTGAGGTCCAGCTTGAGGGTATCATCCACGGGAACAGAAAAAGTCTGATAAATAACTGAGGGTAAAACTCAGGAGTTCAACTCAGAGTCTTCACTGTGCTATACTTACTCCCAGGTGTCAATTGTAAAGGGAGTAGCAGAGGTAGGAAAAGGGCTGTGTACGTGAGTGGGGAAACATGGAAAAGGATGTTTACTATGTTTGTAACAAAAACACCACCAATGTAAAGCTACTGTGCTGATAGGAGCAGAGAGAGGGACTGAAGGCTTACATAGAAGAGTGACAGCAGAGCAACACTAATATCTTGGCTCCAAGATTAAAACACAGAGGCAGTTTCTAAATGGAAACTAGCAGTGGAGAGAACTTGGGAGGACAGAATGACAAAATGGAAAGCTCCATCTTCAAAGGAAAACAGATGTCTTATGTATATGAACCACTTACTATATGCAGATGGAGTATCATGTACATAAGACCTGCAAAACCTAATTGCAGTTCTCTTCGCTCACATCCGTGCAACTGGAATAAATGGACAAATGCTATTCCCATTGTTCCCCTCATCTAACAAATATGTAGAAACACAAATCCTAAGTTCTAAGTTGGGGAGACCAAGTCATCATAATCAGAAGGTTGTTTTGGTGCCCAGGTGAAATTAGTTGCAGGTGAAGAGGAAAGGGACACACAAGAAAAATCATTACCATTATTGGTACCTATGGTGATATTTTCAACAGAGAAACCAAAAAAGACTACAGCCCTAGTATGCATTAGAAGTTGGCCGACACAAAGAAGGTGTGTAGCCAGCAGGGGAGCTGAAGCACTGCTGCTACAGATGCTGTACCTTGTGGGTAAAAGGCCTCAGTCTCCAAAGTCTGTCAATACTCTAAATTGACTTTCAGAAGAACATTTTGTGCTTAAAACTTAGATTCCTGTTTATTTCCATCATGGAAATTTGTACTGATGCCTCTCTGCTGTGCTACTTGCCTCCAACTCCCAGGTAGGGAGCTGTCTGAGCATCACTTTCTGGTATTCAGCCAGTATTTGTGTACAGGTTTTCTTTGCTTTATGTGGATTCTGTATGTGCAAATTCGCTCTTATGCGATGACCCACTTTATACCAAAAATGCATCATATGCAAGGTAAATTCAGTCTTACGTGATCGGTATGGTGGAAGCCCGCAGTCAGTTGCTTTGTGCGGTGCATTGTAGGAGTGATGCATACCAAAATATAGTCTCCTGTGTGAATCTGTGCTCCTTGCTCATTGTATGTGACACGTGTTTCTGTAGTTGCCATCCCCATTATGATAATGCCCAGTGCTTGCGTGTACTGTCTGCTGTTAGTGAGTACCAAAATTGTCTTGTAAAAGTGGTAGAAATGGGTCTGGGGGTCAGTACAGTCAAGGTCTTGGAACGCATCCCTTTTTGTTACATTGTAAAGTGGGTTCCCTTTATGTAAATTCAAGTTATGTGCTGTTTTCCAGAAGCACCAGGTACAGCATAAAGCGAGGGAAACCTGTTTCGGCAGATGTTTAAAGGCTGTGGTTAAACCAACAGGTGTGATACAAGCTTCTTTTTTAACGCATATATGCAGCCTAATTCTCCGAATGAGCAAGGTAAGTTTAAACTGCAGGGGGATAAGAATTAGTGACTGGTTGTCAGGTAAGCTGGTGAGGGGAAGTACAGCTGTATTTCATTCTCAGCTGTAATTTCAGCTCTGCCTGTCTCTGTCAGTTGAAAGAGGCTCTCTGCTTTACTTGTAATCCTGATGGCATCAATTTACAGGGGTTTGTTTCTAGAGTGCAACATGGGTCTCATAGACAGATTCTGTACAACATTTCCCAGATACGTTAGCCTATCCCCTGCTTCAGGAAGCTGAATCTTAATCAGTGTTTTTCCCAAACATTTTAGAAGCCTTTTTTGAGTTAAACAAATGTACCCAGCGTGAAGAAATGAGAAGACATGTAAATGGATTGAAAAGAAATCACTTCCCTCTCACCAGAATTCACTTGTGTGTTGCCTTTGCGATATCCTAATCTTGCTTCCTAATACTCCTCTGAATGATCTCTCAAGAAAAGCAGGCTACACAAGACCCAAATTTCTGATGTACAAGATATATTGGAATGGGGGTGGGAACATTTTGAGGAGAGGAGGACATTTCAGACCATCTTCATTTCTCATCAAGAAGCAGAAGTGTGCAAAAAGTAACCCCCCACCTTTTTATTATCCTGTAGAGGTCGCCAGCAGAGATGGATCATGTGGAATAAATCCATTAGCAGTTAGAGCCATGTATGTTATTGCTTGGATGGCTTCTTAAATACCTCCTACATTTCATGCAGGTGCTCTGGATGACACAGAAATAAACACAAAGTAGATTAAAAGGATTTATTTTGGTAGCAATGGTTTCTGGGAAGTCTGATGCAATTCAGGGCTTTATTGCCTGGCTACAGATGATACTAGCCAAACTCACAATCAGCTATTACTTGCGTCAGAATAATTATATAAAGGTGCCCCTATCGTTCCTCTTAAACTTGCTGGCTGAGCTTTTCCTTCAAATTTCCCACTGGTGCTGCTCTACCTAGAACTGTGGAAATCTTAGTGTGAGGTACCTGTGATTTTTATCACCGTGTCATCCAGTCCTCCTAAAAGCTAGCCTGAGTCTGAATATCTGCAACCTGTTTGTACCTGTGAAGGAGCTGTGCTAGTGTTAAAAAAAGTGAGAAAGTTTTACTTTTTATACTGATACCCTCACTGTTTAGGACATGTTTCTTTGGTTCATGCAGACAAGAAAAAAGTATTAAACTACAATCACATGTTACTATCTTATTACTGTAGTGTACATAGGCATAACAATGTTCTAAGTTTCGGGTTTACATTAGGTATGACTGCCTTCCTGGTTGTGTCTTCATTGTCAGATTTGGAACCAATAATTGACTACTACAAATCCAACTTTAGTGGTAGCAATAGCAATGGATGTGTAAAGCTCTGTGGGTGTGTGTTTCTGTTGCCCCCCTATGTCACCTAGTATGATTGGACACCATAGTTTCAGACATCTAAATCCTGTGGATGCTGTCTCTACCATTGCTGATATTAGGAAACGATGGTAAAATCCATAACCTAATTGTTATGATGCACAAAAGGCTCCAGTGTCTTTGTCCAGCCACATCATGGTGGTTTCTTATCTTACAGGTTTCACAAATCAAACAAAGGTGGTTTCATTATAGTTGATGCATGTAGTGATGCCTGCAGTTAAGGATTCTTGATAGTTTCCATTCCAAGACCCTGTGGTTTATACCTTTGCCAGACTGTTTGCTTGAGCCAAAATGTTCCATGTTATGTGTCTGTCTCGGAGTGAACGTGTCTGGAAAGCTTCAGTTAAAATAGTTCAGCTGTTTCTCAGGACCAGATGGTGGAAGTACTGTGTATATTTTACTCATGTTGAAAAATGCTCACAGCTGGTTTAGTAAGCAGCTCTGTCACTTCCATGCTTTGCAGCAGGGAATTGAGATTTGGCAGGAAAAAAACAGGGAATTGAGATTTGGCAGAAATTACTGTGGTGTCAGGGATGTGTCATTGTGAAGTACCATCCAGAAATGAAACTGTAACTTTTTGGCAACCCCTTCACTCCCTGCAGTGTGTATGTTCTTGCTCGAGTGTGGTTAGAGTTTGACTTCTACACTCTCAGAAGATTTGTTCTGTACTAAGCATGGTCCATCCTCTTACAATTTGTACATGCCAACTAGATAGTGTGTCCTGTCCCCACCAGGCAACTGAGCACGCACCAACACCCCCAACCTGGAGAGGAACAGGACTTCCTTACTTCTCTCAGCTGCTGAAGGCAGCTCATAAGAATAATGTTGTTGAAATAAGATGCTTGAAAGCCAGAATACCCAAATGTAAGGTTCCTCAAGGAACCTTAACTGTCATGTATTATTATCCCTTATCATCATGATCTATCTAACAATGAAGTCCTGCATGGAGCAATCTTATTTGCAAACGATTGTTCATCATCCACATTTTCATGAGGACCACAAACTCCTAGTCACCACAGGATGAATATGATGCAGATATATTATTAATAGATTTTAAACTCAGAGGGGTAATTATATTAGCTAGTCTGACATCCTTTATCACAGGCCATTTCACCCACTATGCTTAATACAGGTGTGTTTGTCATGAGAAGCATAAAAAGCAGACTTACTTTATTTCAACAGTGGTACACTCTGGATATATTAGCAGCTAGTGTTTTGTAAATATAAATCAACAATTCCTCTTCTCTTTAGTCACAGACAAGCCACTGACTCAAACATGCAGACCCTCCACCACTAACTCCACTGACAAACTTAAGGGAACATTTTCCTTGATTCTAATAATATGTTCTGTGAGTCCACCCAGAGAACCTAAACTACCTCATCTTTTTTCCAAAATATGACAATTGGAGTTACTCCACATATTCTCATCCTTCAGATATCTCAACACAAGGTGCTATAGATGGACATGAGACAGAAATAGAGAGAAAGACTTCTCATAAAATCTAAAGCTTTGACTTTCCAAGATTGTGCTTGTATGTGTTAACTACAACTTTCTAATTATGTTGGACTCATTTATTAATATCTATTTCCATCATTAGTTGTAGTTTACACATTTTCTTTGTCTGGGACCTACTCTATTTTAATTTAATCCCTTGCCTCCCAGGAACATCTCAATGGAGAAAAGGTACCCTGTATCTGAGTAGGAGTCTAGAAGCTTTTTAAAAGACCACTACTGTGTTCACGGCTTTAGACCTTCCCTTGGGTCTTGATAACTGTTGTCAGCCACCATCCTCTGTCTGCTTCAAGAGGGGAGGGTGCTGTTCCTCTTGAAAATTTTCCTTTGCTCAGTTACTCTAGATATGGATCTCATATCATCCTAACTAATCCTTCTTCCTTGGTGTTTACATCCTTCAAGTTCTGTAGACAATCACCATATTCCCTTTAGAGTTGTTCAGCTAAGTTTTATCATTATTTTATTGTTCCCTCAAGTTGTTCTCTCTAATTATCTCTGGCTAATCTCTGACTATTCAAAGTTTTTCTGGGCTCAAGGTGCTTGCAACCATATATTATATTTCTTTTACATCAGGTGGTTTTAATCTTGGGCCTGATATCCATCTTTCTGGCACCATGAGGCTGACCTCTGCTACTCCTGTGCCATAGGCTTGACAGAGAGGACCAGGCGTTGACGAAAAGTGTCACAGAGCATAATATACACAAAGGGGTTGAGGCAACTGTTTGCATAGCCCAGGCTGATGGCTGCATTGTACGTGTAGTAGAAGGTAAGTGTTGGGCGGCTGATGGACAGCTGTATCAACTGTAGCAGGTGATATGGTGACCAACAGGTAAAGAAGACCAGACATATAGCAATGGCAGTTCGTGTCACTCGCTTGAGCCTCAGCTGGATGCTGCGCTGAGTAGTTGGGGCTACGGAAGACTTCATATGTTGGAGGATACGTGCATAGGCAACAGCAATGACCACAAAGGGAAGGGTGAAGGCCAGAAAAAACTGGTACAAAGTGAACCAGTACAAGTCAGTTTCTGGATGTGGAAGGCGGATGCCACAACCCACAGTCCCGTCAGGGAATGGAATAAGCCTGGCATAGAGCCAAACCGGGGTAATGCTGATAAAAGAGAGTATCCAGAGGAGACAGATAACCAAGGTAGCAACAAAGGGCTTCCTGAATCTTGAAGAGGAGATGGGGTGAACTGTAGCCAAATACCGGTCAATGGACATAGCAGTCAGAATGTAAGTGCTGGTGAATTGACTGTTAGCGTCCATGGCAGTGATGAGTGTACACATCGTCTCACCAAAGTGCCAGATGCCATTTCCCAGGAGCTGGTGGATCATGAAGGGCATGCCCAAGAGGAAGAGGAGGTCCACGACAGAGAGATTGATAATAAAGATGTCTGTGACGTTGTGACGCCAGTGGAACTTGGACTTTTTCACTACAGTAAAGATGACTACAGAGTTGCCAGCAGTACCCAGCAGACAGATAATGCCAAACACAGAAGGCATGATAATACTGGTATAAGAGATGCTCTGCAGATCTGGCCACTCTGAAAACCAAGAAAACATACTGACAAAGGGCAGACTTTTGTCATTTAAAGCTTCAGTTTTGTGACAAAATTTACTCCTGGCAAAAAGGCTCTGCCAACACACCTCCCTTTTAGTTCTCTTGTACTTTCTGCTGTTCCAGTCCTGGCTTCTCAAGCAAAAGCTGCTAGTGGACAGGATCCAGAAACAGATCCAGGATTTTACAAAGAGGGGAGAGGTGGGGCGTGGTTTCACTGACCAGGCCTGCCAGGGTGGCTACACTCCTGCTCCCAGCCTCCTCCCCACCCCTCCCCTTCACCAGGCCAGGCAGACCTCAGACAGGAGCTGCAACTGGGGCCTTAAGTCCAAAAAAGAAGGTAAGAAATTCCCAGCCTTTTTCCCTCCATGCTCAGTGGCACATCCTTCTGCTTCCATCTGCATCTCCTTCCTCTCCCATGCATCCCTCTCATGACTGCTGCTGCTAGTGTCTGCATTGTTCTGGGGGCAAGGGAATCTCTTGTCCATTCCAGCCAGGCTGTGAGGGATCTGCACTCACCTGGCACCATAGCAGCAGTGGCAGTGGTAGGCAGGCACATTCCCCTTCCCTGTGCCTGCTCCCAGGCTGGTGGGGAGCACCAAGAGGGAGCAGGCAGTAAGGGGAACATCCCTGCCTCTGCCACTGTCCTGGGCTGATCCCAGCCCCTGTGCAGCCTGGCTGCAGCAAACAAGAGCAACCCTCAGCCACAGGAGAGTGTGGACACCAGCAGTAGTCGGCTGGGGAACGAGGAAATGAGAAGGGAAGGGACAGGGAGGAGAGGGACTATGACTTTGAGCACAGAAGGGAAGGAAGGAAGGAAGGGAATTCTTACCTTCGTCTGGACTCAAGTCCCTGGCTGCTGCTCCTGAGGCATAATCAGAAACTTAGGGTGTGGCCATGACACTGCATCCCCTTTGGATCCACCCATGACAGGATCTATAGCACCCCTGGGTATTCAAGTTGTGGGCTGTACGCATAGCTCTCTATGAGAATTGCAAAAACATATCAAACCTGTGACTTGTGGCTGCTGTAATCTAGTATCCTGCATCAGACTGAGCAATGTAAAATATCCTTCAAGGCAAGGTTCAGGGAAATTCATAAAGTACAACTACAGAATAATTGAGAGAATACTAACGTCTAATTCTAGGTATTTCACAGTCACCTTGGGCCCTCAAGTAGGTGAGGTTTTATCCTTTATACATTAGGTAGGTAATAGTTTTGTTATTTAGTTAAAAATATAAGCTGCTTGCAAATGTTACAAAACAAACCAAAATGTGGTTTACTGGAAGAAGCAGTGCGTTGCTTTGACCCAGCTCTGCAGTGTCTGTAAATATCAGATGCTTCATCAGGGCTTATTAGTGCTTTTAGCTAATACCTGATTCAATCACTAAAGTGCCAAGTTTAAAGTGCCGTTTGTTTGTTTGTTTTTAATGTCTGCAAGCGCCCGTAAAGTCTGATCCTACTTTAAAATCATACCAAGTTTTTAGCCTCAGTGATAACTTGTGAAACTCCCTGGCACAAGATAACACTGAACTGTGTTAAAAAGCATCTCCTTTTACCCGATTTCACTGAATGCCCCTCTTGTTCTCCTATCAGAGTAAGGAGAACACCATTCAAGTCCTCTATATTTTATTTTATTTTCTATACCATTATTATGTCCCTTTTATTAATCACTTCTGCAAACTAACAGTCAGTCCTTCCAGCCTCACTATGACAATCCCTCCATTCCATTCATCTCTTTTGCCACTCATCCTTAACCTCCTCCTGTTGTTACGCATCTTTGCTTTTGAGATGAAGTGACCAGAACTGTACCCGATCAATCCTCCAGGAGAGGGAGCACCACTGACTTTGGAGTATATCATTGTATCATTGCATTTCTTGAGAAAGCAACTCCGTATTGAACTTGAAGCTCTTTTTAAAAATTGTTTTAGTCTTTTATTAAGCTGACTGTCATGGTTCAAAAGCACTCTCCACAAATGCTGAAAGGAGTTGCACCAATGGCATGGGGCAGTCTCCATCTGGACAGTGGACAGATAGCTGACATTTATTTAAAAGCTCACGGGTTGCTTTCAGATTTAAACTGGCTGACAATGGTAGCTGGGAAGCTGCAAGCATGAAGGAGCCCTTTTCCATGCACCCTTTTCTACAGCTCTGTCCTGATACTGGCTGTTGGAAGAGTACATGTCAGAAAAGCCTAAGGCTGTGAACAGATGTCACCTTTGTGGCAACACATGAAGCTTCATGGCAGGATAAAATGCAAGCGTATAGATGTCTTCACTGCTTGTCATGCCACAAGTGCCCCAAATGATTGTGGGACAACACCTATAAATGTTTTTTTCCACTTTATCACAGTGAATGTTTATATGGTTATGGTGCATCAGCTGAATGTACCATTGAAGAGCAATGGTGCAACCTACCTTCAGTGTGGTATCTCATCCTATTCTTATAAATAAACTGAGCAGCTGTAATGTAGATGATTACACGGTCAGGTGCATGGACGACTGGTGCCTCCTGAGTCTGGGGGGGCACCCACAGATGCCTCCAGTGCTGTCAGCAGCAGGGGAGGAGCTGGCGAGCTCCCACAGATGCCGCTGGTGGCGGTGGTAGCAAGGACGGCTCTGTCGGGGGGCACGTCAAGTTCCTGCAGACACCACTGACAGTATCAGTGGCAGGCATGGCCCAGTTGGGGGGCATGTGCCCCCCTGCATCCCCACACCAGTCACCTATGTCTCTGAGGAGGGGGAAGTTGCTGGGGCCCAAATGGCCTTTTTTGTTCTTTTTGAATTTGGGGGCAGCCAAGACCGTTGAGGCCCAAGCACAAAGAAGCCAGCAGCCCTGGAGGCTTTTGTTGCATCTCTGGGGCTGTGCATGATGCTGGCAGGGAAAAGGTGGATGTGTGTGGCTGCCTATGGCCTCTTCTTGTAGGGCGCAGGGCTGTCCGACAAGGGTTGGAGTTTTTTTTTGGTTTTGTTTTTTTTTTTTTTTTAAGGGTGGGGTGGTGGTGGGCAACTATATGTATGTAAGCGTGATGGCAGGGCTCCAGGGTGGAAAGTTGCAGGCCTCGGCGTGCATGCCCAGTTTTAGGGTATGCAACAATCAGCTGATTGTTTACGCCAGCCCTGGTGCGCTGGCACATTTAAAAACTGCATGTGCTGCCCAGCTGGGTTGCACACAAGGCACAGGCATCCCCAGCATAAAGGAATCCTAAGTCTGGGGAGATGCTCCCTGATCCCAGGGTCCCCGTGTGCTAGGGCTGTCAGGAAACTGTGTGCAGCTGGACTGCACATGTAGCTTGTTGGCTCCTCACAGGTGTGCAAGGACTGCTAACAATCAGCTGCCTGCCCATGGCACTGGAGCTGAAGGACTTCCCCTGTAGAGGACCTTAAATAAACACCATGCCTAACAGTCGTGGTTACACTGCTAAGTTATGGGGAATCAGAGGCTCCTGGCAGGGTTTGAAGTCCCCAGCAGGAATTTAAATTCCCAGCAGCAAGCCTCTGATCTCCTGCACCCTGGCAGCCAGGGAAGAACTGTGAGGTGAAGAGTTTTGACAATCAGCTGATAGTTGTTCCCTGCCTGGACAGCTGTGGTCTTCAACCAGCTGATTGTGAGCTTACCACACTGGGGCTCTGCCCTGTAAACCCACTTGATGTGTGGACATGCCAATCTTCTTCACAGGATATGTTACAGCATGACAGTGCTGCTACAACTGCGAAGTCTGTTATAGTCTAAGGTACCCCTGCCACTCAAATTCCTCTCCTTGGGGGCCACCATCAAGTATCTTAATCTGCTTGGTTTCAGTGCTGCCATGTGGCAGTAGAGAGTATAGAGCACTCTTGTTATGGCTGTGACACTGGTGCATTGCCACCAGGGTTGTGATAGCAAGAGCCTGTGTGCAGACAAGACATTAGCAGCTTTTCAGCTTTACAACCATTCTGTTCTTTAGATTTGCTCCAAGCAGGGTTAGATGACATGTTTGATAGGATGCCAGCAACTTGTCTATGCTAGTGCTCTCACCATTGCTGACATTGCTGGGAGGGCAGCAGTGGGAAATGTTCAATATGAAGACATCCCAAAGAAATCCAATAAAAGAAAGTTAGGCTATAGTCTATTCAGAGGTTAGTCTCTGCTCTCTTAATTCTTTCCTTTTTTTCCCTAGGAAGCTGGTGGTTGGGTTTGTTTTGCAGGTGAACCATTTCTGTGTCTAAATAAAAGAGGATTCTGTATGTTCTCCCCAAGTCTACTAATTATTTTTTCTCCCTTCCTTCCTCCTGCTCAATCAATTTCTCCATTCTCAGAAAAATCGGTATATTCTAATTTCCCTCCAGACCACTCTTTTCCTGGCTTCCTAATATCTACTCAGTGCTTCCAAAACAATCTCTTCTTTTCCTTCTGTCCATCTTATTTTACCCCAATCCCCTCCTTCTCCCCTTCAGATTCTACTGGCAGGTTTCGTTCAGTTGTTGGCTTCCATACCTCCACTTAGCCTGCATAAGGTTTTACAAGCAGCATGATTAAAAGAGAAATCAGTGACTATTCTCCCCAGATGTGGAAAGCTGTACTCACTGGCAGTGGTCAGGTTGGCTCCAGGTCCGGAGTTGTTGCTGATGTTCAGTCTGAAGGGCAGAAGATCCATGGTTTCATCTCAGTCTTATTACAGCTGATCTCTCCTGTACTCTCAGCGAGTTAGCACAGCTCTGTGCAAGCAGTCTCTCCTGTAGCGCAGTCCCTATGATTCTAAGGCTGGGGGAGTAGATTTTTTCCTGCCTTAAAGCTTCTCTGCTCAAATTGGTATAAACTGCTCTCTCTCCCTCCTCAGCAGTTCCCCCTGACATCACCTAGCCATAATCATATTCAGAAGCAGATGTATATTAACCTTTTCCCTGTCAGCTATACCAAGGCTGCAAGTTCCAATTGTTTTGCCTTCAGAGAAACTGGTGAGCCAGCTAAGGTAGCTTTCACCTGCTTAACTTCATTTGCAGTAAAAGGTTCCCCCTGATATTAAGGACTTTGTCTCTCTAGCCAGGTTTTGTCAGCAGCTTTTGTTACTAACAGTGAAAACTGGTTCCAGAAGGGAAGAGCACTTATGGATTAATCTGTAGTATGCATATTGCCATGGCAGCTTGCTGTTGCAATTATAAAGAATAAATTACAAATTAAATTGAAAAAATGAAACACCACAAGCCAAGCACTAAATGCAACAAATATGTTTTGCAGCCTGCTAAGAAGGTTGCTAAACTCAGGCTTTAATAGACTGAAATTCCCTCCTCTTAGCAAGATGGGTTCCTTCAACTGAAAACCCCTACGGAGAGGAGGCTGGGATTTTGAAATGGTGCCTTTTTGGTAAAAAGGCAGAGAAATCACTTTTGAATATATGGCACAGTCCTGGCTCCTGCCCATACCTCTAAATGCTTCTCTTGCCAACAGACATCGCATCTGCCTTATCTGGGTTAAGGTATAGATGTTTTGCTTTCAGACTGAATGTTTAATTTCATGTATATGAAGCAGTGGCATGCCCTCACCTTGAATAATATGCTTAGTTTTGGTCATCTCTTAATAAAATATTGCAAACACAGAAATGCTCAGAGACTGCTGATGAAAATTATTAATATTATTTCTGTTGTGGTAACACCTTTAGGAGTCCTGAGACCCCATGGCCTAGGTGCTGCATAAATAGAACAAGAAGATGATCCTGACCCAAGGAGATTGGGTACAGAAGAATGAAAAGTCTTCTCCATAGGCTCATCTATGCTGGCATTTAAAATCATGCTCTATACATGTTTACTAACATAATCTTAAAACCTGTTCCTAGTCAGGAACTAGGAACAGATGTTTGCATCCTTTCTAAACTAGATCTACAATGGATTTTGCAAAAACATAATTAAAATCCTATTAAATAGAAAAACCTGATAAAATCCTGTTGTAGACAAGCTATATAAGGAGAGACTGAAAAAAAAGGGAATTAAGTTTAAAGAAGGGACTAAAAGGGATTAAAGAGGGTGACTTGATAGAGGTATATAATGTCTGGAAAGAATAAATGACATGTTTCTTTTTACCTACTTAGAATACAAGAACAAGGAGGTATCAGTAGAAAGACAGCAAAGGTAACCACGTAAAAGGAAATACATTTTTATACAGTGCATCATTATTCTGTGGGTCTAATGATACTTGATTGCATGGAGACCGTGACTTCAGTAGGACTGAAAAAACTAAACATGATAATGAGAGAGAGAGAGAGCTAGTGGTGTTAGTCTGCAGTTAGACAAGGCAAGATAGGGTGGGTGGCATTGACTTGTTCAGAGAGGCATGAGCTGTTTTGGGGTACAGACTACTTTGTCAGATGCTATGAATGGTTCCATCCTTGGATGGACTTCACAGCATCTGATGAAGTAGGCTGTAACTTATGAAAGCTCTGAATAAGTCGGTCCATAAGGTGCCAACCCTACTATAACAAGAATATGTTAAAAAAATTATAAAGACTATAAGCCCCACATTAGAGGGTAGAAGCCAACCACCACCTCTCAGGTTTAGGAGGGATTTCCCTTTTAGAAAGGGTCACTGAATAAACTTTGAGGGGATTTATGACTCACCTACACTACTGCCAGGCTTAGCCCATCTCTTCAGGAGTCCAGCAGTCACATGCTTCCATCAGGTGACTTAAAATAAGGCTTGTGGTCATTCAAGGAGTCAATGTGCTGAGAAAAGAGAAAGTGGCTGGTCTCTTGCCTTTCTAGGCAGAGTTGACTCCTGAGTAAGAAGCCAGGGTTGCAAAGGATGGTGAGTCTGGGGAGCAGGCCACAAGGAAGAGGACCCTTGATAAAGGACTGGAAAGATGATTTTTGGAGAGAGTTCATAAACTGAAAGAATGATTTGAGTTCTGGCCATCTTGTTCTGGCCATTGCTAGGGAACCTGATCCAGGGATCCTGATACATCAGGAGTGGGCAATTATTTTGGGTGGAGGGTCGCTTACTGAGTTTTGGCAAGCCCTCGAGGGCCACATGACAGGCAGCAAGGGGAAGACAAATATTAATTTTCTACATTTTTTAGGGGCCCCATGGGCCAGATGGAATGGCCTGGCGGGCCGCATTTTGCCCACCCCTGTGATACATTATTTCAAATGCATAGGTACTCCAACTGACTTCAGCTGAACTTGCATGGTTAGGTACTTTACTATATTCAGGTCATAGATAAGATACTGAAGTCACTGGACTACTGGTATAGCAACTTGTATTCACCCTGGCTGAGTCCTCCAGAGAACTGTCATCAGTCAGCAGTATCAAACCCATCCTTTGGATCCTACGTGCTTTTGAACTAGCTGTGGCCTCTGAACAAAGGCCTCTTGGACAGTCTCCTGAGGTGCTAGTGTCCCGTCTGTCACTCTTTTTTTCAAGATGTGGGGCTCTCCAATCCAACTGCCCAAAATCCTGAGACCAGTTCTGGACCTCTCAAGGCTCTGTATATGCCTTTGCATGCTGAAACATGCTCACTCTATTTTGCGTAGACCTGTCCAGTCTGGCAGGAAATGCAGTTAGTTCCTCTTCCCCTATGTACTCACTGATCCTGAAAGTCCTTGGGGAAAAGACAAAGCCCTTCTTGCCCCCACGTCGCCAGCTGTGTCTCTTGGATGATAAATAAATAAACTCTACTCTTCCTGCTTACAGACCTTAATGCAGACTTTGTGCTATTGGGTGGCCACCTGAAGGAAAAACTACAGCTCTTCTAAACATGTGCTTAGGCAGGAGAAGACTTGCATTCCCTGCCCCATCCCAACCTCTCCCTGCACCCCCACACCTCCCCCCAAAAAAACAGAAACAGTTTTCTGTGCTGGCAGAAATGCTGTTATTCAAGTAGGTGAGAGACATTCACTGCTCATGGCCTATGATTGCTTTGTCATGCCTTTCCAGACTAGCTTCTCTCTTTTCCAGGTTTCTGCTACCTGGAACAGAGCATCTCTAATCTATAATGACTTTTTCAGGTACAAATCATGTTTATAAAACTGCATGGAATTTGCAACTGGACGTAAACATATTCCCCTGACTATTGCATATTAGCATCCAAATTACTGGCAGTTGGTGATGCCATAGTCCAAATGTTTCACAGTTATTCTGTGCGACTTAGTATAATGTTAAACAGCAAAATAACAAAATGACTGCTTGAAGTTTGAGGGCCCTTTGGGAGAACAAGCATAATCCCTCCTGTCCTCTCAGACATTGCAGAGCAAGTAGTCAGCTCAATAAAAGGCCATTATGTCATTTAAGCGAGCTGCCTTGGGCAAGCTGACAACACTTTGATGTTGCCACTAATGAAGGTTGCTGCAAGATCAAGTAAAATCAGCCTGAGAATTGTGTTCTTGTCTATCACTGAGATATTCTCTGTGATACATTTTCAGTTCCACACCTAAATCCCAACTCACACTGAGAGGAATCAAGGAAATACATAGAATCCAAAGGGTATT